CGGTATTTGCATTCTCTTTTCCTTTGAGAGCACGATGTATTGCATCCGCACCCCTCAAAACTAGCTGGTTGTCTGGGATTTTTATAAAAGGATTCCATGTTAACAGTAAGAAATGCAAAGTATAAATGAAGAATATGATTAGGGTTGGTTCTATTTATAGTTTGTGAAAAATAATGCATGAATCACATAGAGATATAAAGGAAAATAATAACATATTTATTTAATCTGAACTAGTACAAAAATCATTTCTTGCGGTTTGAAGTATTTCAGCAAGATCAATTGGTTCTAAGAAATGAGCAGTTACAAAGTTTAACAAATTATTTTGTGTGACAGGATGAAGCGTTTTGTTTTTAACTGTATTATAAAATTTTTTAACAATGTCATTGTAAGCGAAACATTTCAATGTACTTCGTCTTTCTAGACCACACAGAAGTGATGCATGCTCTATCTTGAATACGCGCACTTCATATTCATGTTAAATCCTGATTGTATGACATCACGTATTCCTGTTTTGATTGACTCGAAGAAATGACATCACTCCACCCTACGGAGAAATGTCTTATCTTGTAAAATTACTTTCAAGTTTTATCTTGCAAGATTACCTTCATGTTTCATCTTACAGATTGATTATTAATAAAGCCTGATTCATGTTCAATCCTACATCGGGTTTCATTTTTGTGCCCTTTTTCAAGTATCATTCGTATCAGAAAAAAAAATAATTAAAAAATAAAGATAAAAAAATAATTACAAAATCCAAAAAATTATTTAAAAACTTATTAAAAAATAGTTTAAAAATAATGATTAAGAAAATAATTAAAAAGTAATAATTGAAAATTAAATAAAAAGTAATAATTAAAAATTAAATTAAGAAGTAGTAATAAAAAAATTAAATGAAAAGTAATAATTAAAAAATTAAATGAAAAGTTATTATTAAAGAGATTTAATTATAAAATAAAGATTGGAAAAATAATTACAAAATCTAAAAAATTAATTAAAAAAAAAAATTTAAAAATAAAGATTTAAAAAAAAATTATGAAAAAGTAATCAGTATCAGTAATTAAAAATTAATCAGTAATTAAAAATTTAATAAAAAGTAATAATTAAGAATTAAATTAAAAAGTAATAGTTTAAAAATTAAATAAAAAGTAGCAATTAAAAAGATTTAATTACAAAATAAAGATTAAAAAATTAATTATGAAAAAACACCTTCAACTATAGTGCGACTCCTCCCCCCTCCCCCTCCGAGCCCTTACGGATCCCGCATTCGACCACGCCCCCTACAGATCCTTCGGATCCCCTCAGATCCCTGGCGTAGAACTCTCATTTCTCATCTACTAATGCGCTATAGCGTGAATAATTTATTTTAATCTGATGAAGTTTAGTGGTCTATAATTTCGAATAGATTTACTTTTGGAGATAATAAATCAACATTAAATAATATTTTATAATCGCAGCACACAAAATGTTAAAAATTAAAGTAAAAATGCCCACAACTTCGTCATGGCGCAAGTGCACAGCTAAATAAATCTAGTGCTTCAAAAATCAATTTTTGGAGAACCGTAGATGGGCTCAAAGGGAAATAATATTTTTTAATAAAATATTATAAAAATTTCGACAAAATGTATAGTATATTGATTAAAATGCATCTGCTGCTACAACATTGGTATACGCTTGACAGAAATAGGCCCTCTGGAAATTCAAACGCATTTTTTTTCTCAAAATAAGATTTTTATAACGGTCACAATGCTAAATGTTTGACCATTTCAAATATCATCTATGCGGTCTGAGTATTGGCCTACCTAGTTTCTTCCAAATCTGCAATAACCTTTTAGTTTTTTAGAAGGCAAAAAAAAAAAAGAATTTATTGATGTATGCTAAACTTAACGAGTTAAACTCCCCAATCAATTAATAAGCTCACCGGACAAAAAATTAGTCACCCTAGTGCGCAAGCACCGATGAATCGTTAGGTTTCGCTAGATGACTCAGTGGTTAAGTGACGTGCTCAACTGCGAGCGCACTGCCTCAACGTGATCAAAAACAAGTAGCTATCAGTAAGATATTTTTGTTTTGAGTGGAAGTTGTGTGTAAATATGGGTAAATGTTAGGATTTGACAGAGTGGCAAAAAGGGGCAATTGTGTTTGGCCGTGCCCATGGTCATACGGTGAATGAAGTTTGCTGAATTTGTTGGTGTTTCGATGCGAACTGTTCAACGTGTCTACAAGCAGTGGTGTAATACACGTGGTCACAAAAGAAAACGTCGGAATTGTGGTAGGAAAAAGGTCCTGCATGAAAGAGACCGGAGAAGTTTTTCACGACTTGTGAATCAAAAACGCTTCCAAACCAGACAGGAATTGCTTCAGTTAGTGAATGAAGGTTCATCCCTACCTGTAAGTAAGAGAACATTGCGACGGGAATTGTAATAAACATTTGGAGTCGAACACCTCTTAGGAGGCCATTGCTCACACAGGCACATAAAGCTGCGTGACTTCAGTGGACTAGAAGTGAATGAACGTGGGCAGTTGCCGACTGGTGGAATGTAATATGGTCTGACGAATTACGTTTTTCCTTTTATTCAAATGACGCACGTCGTCGAGTGCACTGAAAACCAGATGAAGTATTTCATCCTGGCTGTGTGCAAGGTCAGGTTCAAGCCGGAGTTGGGTCTGCCACGTTTTGGGGATGTTTGTCTTATTATGGATTGGGCCCCCTCACTGAGATGGCCACTAACATGAACCAACATGTTTATTTGAACATTCTGGATGATCAGCTGTTGCCTTTCAGTCAACATCTTCATGAAGAGTATGTTGTCGATACCCCTATATTTCAAGATGACAACAACGAAGTTCTCCTGGCAGGAAGAATATGTCACTGGTCTTATGAACTCTCAGACACTCAATTAGATAACGACTGGCCTGCAAAATCATCTGACTTGAACCCCATTGAAAATTTGTGGAATATGTTGGAACAACGGGTTAAACGCTGAAATCAGAATCCTCGCAATTTGGCGGATTTGCGTGATCAGATCTTCAGAGAGTGGCTTAAACTGAATTCGACGTACCTGCAAAACCTTGTGGCTCACTTCCTAACCGAATCCAGGCGGTTATCAAATCCATAGGCGGTATTGAACGTTATTAAATTATGTTTTTATAATTTCTCTAATGATGGCTAATTTTTTGCCGGTGTGCTTATTTGGGGAATAAAATTTACTTAAACTGTTACATTCAGTTAGGATATTAGAAGATTAAAAATAGAATCGAACATTGAATCCGATGTTTTGTCAAATCTGAGAACTTATTAAGACAGTATGAATAAACCCAAGAAACTGAAGCAGGAAGATATACTTGATAACATAAACTTTAAAAAAAACACGCACTGCTTTTCTTCTTTGTCTTTTTTATCTTTATTTATTTTTCATTTTCTTTTACACTTTTGGCTACTTCGGTTTTTCTAGTTTCGTTTCTTAATTTTATTTTCGATTTTCGTTGGTAGCTGTTTCGAATCACTTTTGTTTTCTTCATTCTAGTTTGACTCGTTTTAAGAATGAGTGCCTATTTTTGAGAGCTCGAAACATATCGACTTTATCATCTTCATGTTTTTTAAGCAATCAAGTAATATATCAAGTAATATCAAGTTTACAAACACATTTTTATTACGATTTTAAAAAGATGAGGTTACTTACTTAATGTTCTAGCAAACCCAAAATCACATAGTTTCACAATTCCATCTTTAGTTATTAAAATATTTTCTGGTTTTACATCTCTATGAATACACTAAAAATGAAATAAAAACAGTTTTAAAAATTGAATCACGAAACCTCAAAAATGTTTTCTGAAATTATAAAGTGTTATAAAATCATATTTCATGGCGTTTTAGCAAATAAAGTTTAATTCTTTAAACATTTTATCATTTATAAAGTAGATTAATTGGTGATCTGAATTTTTTCGGGAATATTAAAGAGAAATTTTGGTATATTTTTGCAGTAAGTATATATGCAGAGGGCGTATATCAATTCTGCTTTTGAAAGTTCATCTATTACGCTTTAAGATTATGAATATTGAGAGTTGTATTGGTTTATTGGACAAAATTAGGAAATTTTGCTTCACGCCAGTGGCCAATTGTAGCTTTTTTAACAGTGGTCACTTTTTGAAACATATGGTCACTTTTTAAAACATATGGTCACTTTATAAAAAAATTGGAAATTTAAACGATTAAAAAAAACTGTTGCTATTAATAATGTAGGGTATTTCTTTTATAGTACATTACAAGGTTCATTTCTAAACATTACCAGGTTTATTTCGAAAATTAAGAAAAATTATTTTAAGAAACAAGCTTGAAATAAAACAGATTCAGGAAGTTTGAAACAGGACAAAATTAGGACATTTTGCTTCTGGCCAGAGACCAGTTGTAGAATTTTCAACAGCGGCCACTTTTTAAAAATACAAAATTCTAAACGATTTAGAAAACTGTTGATATTAATAATGTAAGGCATTTATTTATTTTGAAGTACATTACAAGGTTCATTTTTAAACATCACAAAGTTTATTCTAACATTACAAGGTTTATTTATAAAATTAAGAAAAACTTTAAGGAGCAAGTTTAAAATAAAGCAAATTTTCCGAATATTATAAAACATTCATAATATTTTCATATTTCAGATAATAATAACAAAATGCACAATAGGGTGCATTGCGATTAAAAAGGAATGGTGGTAGCAACTGTTAATTTTGCGCTGCATATTACTTACAAATACACATATGGATAAAGTTGCAATAATGCATTATTATTATTATTATTTGCGTATTTGGTAGCTTGATAATACAAATTATTATTTGAATTATTTTTTTGAAAAATGATTTGATAATACAATTATTAGGTACAGTCAATAAATATCTAGTTACAGGCAATTTCACACGTTTTATTTAAGGAAACTTAGAACTACTTCAGTTATTGTTATCGTAGGCCGTTAAGGCAAGTGGTGTGATTGCTCTTGCTTTCCAGATGAGTCATCTACGGCCAAGAATTCGACTTCTGCTACACCCATACACCCAACCCACTTATAGGGCGGACTTATTCATGCATCCATTCATTCATCCATAGATCGTACTTTTGACTTAAATCAGAGAACGATGAATCTCCAATTCAGTACCCCCAGATGTATAATTTGATATGGGAACATAAGGGATTTTGTGACCCTATAGATTTAACGTGCATCAGTTACCAACTTACTACATAAGGAGTCTTCGGCCTGATGGATTCGAACGTGAACCGGAGTCTAGTGCCCTGTCAACCAGACTATCCCGGTCACAGAACTACTTCTAGTTACCCAATATAATGTTCGTTGAAAACCATTGGCTTATACAACTTGATTTCATAGTCCAATTTAAACTGATGTCCTTGAAGTACTTTTTTGTAGATGTAGAGAACAGATCTGGACTATAGGATAGATGGATCAGGACTTTTCCCATTCGAATTTGAGGGAGTTTCTTTATTGCTCTGATTGTGTATAGTTTAACCAAAGAATGTATATGTCTCATATTATATGTTCCTTGGTCTAACATTATCGTGCAACAGGATGAAAGAGTTAATCGCGACATCCGGGTTTTTGTTAAATGATACCAAATTTCTCTGATACTCCATAGGTCTACCAAACAGACAAGGAGTGACAGTTACGATTAGCCTCTCTATAACGCTTCGCTTTCAGAAACTGTGTAAATGAATTGACAGTTGCTGAGTTATTATTATTTTATCCTTTTTTAAGTATAGTCACCTAGTCAAGTATAGTCATCTAGTTAGTAAAAAGCACATGAATCATTTTCGTCATACCAGCAACTACATTTTAGATCCAGCTCTCTTTTTCTACTTAACATAATTTACGCTTCATAGCCTTTGCATTGTTATTACTGTACTAAATACTGCATTTTTTAGCAAATTTCTCAATGAAACGGAAACCAATTGATTTTTGATAGAATTTAATAAGAAATTTAATAAAATCAATGCAAATGTACCTAAATACCTTTTATTAAAAATTAAATAAGTGATAATAAAATTCCTGCTTAATAAAACATAACTCAAATAAAGCAAAAATACACAAAACCGTATGCTCTAAACTAAGTCAATTACAAAACTGTATTGGATTCAACAAAGACTCTAATCAACTTATATATTCATATAATAAATATTGAGTGTGTAGTTTAAAAATTCAACAAAAAATTTATGCTTTCGTATTCGTTTAGTTTAAAATAAATGAAATTAAAATTTTCAATTATTCGGATTTTAATATTTAATGATTAAATATTTAATAAAATATTGATATTATGTTTCATAAAATGGGAAAGATAAATTTCAAATGAAATGATTAAACAAGTTTTTGCAAGACAGTTTATAGGACTTACATTATGCTAATGATAGAAATATGACTTACATTATGCTCATGGCAGAAATTTACGGCTTGTAGAGTCTGCCAAACTATTCTTTTGGTTAAATTATCTGGAACTCTGGAAATAAAGAGGAAAAGATCAATTTAGACATCATTTTGAAAGTGGATTTCACATCTTTATAAAGTATCAATGAACTAATATAATTTAAAAAAAATATATATTGGAGAACAAGTGTTTTCTTTTGAATTAAAAGAAAGATTTAAAAATAGCACTCCACATTTCAAAGAATACAATTGAAGGCATGTAATTCAAAAGAGTCCAAGAGTCAAATAAATTGCTTAAAAAGAATTTAAAACAATCAAACTGATAACAACTAAAAACAATTCTAATTACGAAACTAGGCTGGGGTAACCTGGTTAGTAGGGCATTGGGCTCATGTCCAAGAGTTCGTGGGTTCGATCCCAGCCGGCCGAAGACACTATGTAGTAAATGGTGACTGATACACGTTAAATCTGTCGAGTCGCAAAGTCCTTCATGTTCCCATAACAAATCAAAACCTCTGGGGGTACTGATCCGGGAGTTTCCTTGTCTTCTGGATTGGTTCAAAATTACAGGGCAACCGAGTTGAACATTAGTAGTCGTAAACCCAAAATTGGGTCGCTTGTTCAACAACGGATATAATAATATAATTGCGAAACTAAAGCAGTGGTGTCTTTAATTTGCTACACAAAAGTGGTTCTAATATGTCACATTTTATTCAATTACAAAAACATCAATATCCGCTCTACAAAATCCGCTTTTCTTATTTTAAAGTGTTTTTCATTTTTCTCAAGGTGTTAATTTGAATGAAATCGAGCATGACAGCAACTAACTATTTTTGAGTTATAACTTTTCAAACAGCAATAGATTGAATATGTGCAAAAATTGAAATCTATTCTTAGCAAATTTCTCATAGAAAATATAAACACAGTTTATTCCCATACAAAGAAGCATTTGTTAACAAGCTAAGAGTTCATACCCTTTAGGATGTTTTTCTAAAATATCCAATACAGTATGTTCACAGTATTCAAAAACTAAATGAAGTTTTCTTTTTCTTCGGAAGACTTCAATTAAATTAACAAGGTTAGGGTGCTTTAATTGCTGAAAAGAAGAAAGAAAACATTTACTTGAAAATTGCATTCATAAAAGGTGCACAATTTGTTAATAGACTTTTCCAACATTGCTTTTATCTTAACAACTTACAAAAAATTAATAGAATGAATAGGGGGGAAAGTCCACGAAAAATACTTGCCAATTACCAATTCAATATCATCGTGAGAAGATCACTTTGTGTGGGTGACGAAAACATTGAACAATGTAAAAATAATGATAATTAGTCACATTAAACAAATATCACGATATATCATGAATTATTAGCATTCTCCGATCATGATAAAAATACTATATCGATCAAGACAATTAAATTAATCGAAAATTAAACTAAGATTACAAAACGTTTTAATCTATTAAAAGTCAATTAAGTAAGCAAAGAGTTCCTAGTTCGAGAACACTTTCTACAAAAAAGTCTAGAACTGTCATGTTGAGTTCCGAAATGTACTAAAAACTGTATTCAAATTAAGAAAAGGTATAATTTGTGTAATACGGAGTGTTCTGCAAAAGTCTACCTTAATATGTATTTCTAGAATCCTTTTCAAAAATGAAAATAAAAACACATCGGGGATCAAATATTAATATTTAACTGAGGAAAAAGTAAAAACGTTTTAGAAATTTAATAAATCACGGTACAGGAAAGCTCAAGTAATAAACAAGGTAGGTTTGATAAGGAAGCAGAAATAAGTTGAAAGAGGATTATTAGAAATATCTTCAAGTTTCAGCTTCCAATTTAACCTGTTTTGATGCTTAATTCATCTGCCTTTCTCTACTGCGATTGGTCAGATTTCGATGGCTTATTTTTTTCCCTCGGTGTATTATTAATATGCGACTCCCAATGTGCATACTTTCTCTTTCTTTTTTGATGAGGATTGTAAAAATCGATATTAAAAACGGTTTTAAAGGAAAACTCTGTATTTAAATAAAGCTAAAAATCATAAATAAAGCGTCAATAATGCCATAAAGACTGTAGAAGTGGAACGACCAAATTAATCAATCCCGTGATTTAATAAAGTTAGCGAATGTTTGACTCTTTGCGGTCACTTTAGCCATCAAAGATTTTTTTACCATTACAGTCGTTTGTCTGCTTTCAGCCTTCATAGAAAATACTGAACTTATAATATTAAACAATACTGTTTATTTAAGTTGATAGGCTTTGGAAATGCATAAATTAAAAAACTGGGGAACAATTTTTTTGTTGTATTGAGATTTTTTTTAAACCGATGAGTCACATACGGTGATTTCAAATCTGCAATCGGTTTCTCTCTCCTAGCAAGTACTTTTTTTACAAGACATTTTCATCGGTTTTTTGTCGAATTGAACGAGTTTAAAATTATTATGTATTACACGGGATCACTTGAATGTTGTAACAAAAATCTAAGGGAGTTAGGGCAAATTATCCGGATTAAAATTGCATAGAAACCCATGCCTGTTAGTGTCTTCCGGTAATATAACCCATACTCGGTAATGTACCGATAGGGGCGCTTCCTTATTATGAACTATTTCTTCGTGTAGCACGCTGACCGCAGCATCACTGGCTGTGGGCAGTGTGCGGGTGGGTGACCACTTGGATTAGTCTGCGTACGGACCGAGGGAGTGCGGTATTGGTCCTCTTAAAACTGTTCTACCGTAAAGTGCTCGACTTCGCTTGCAGGTCGTCGGGCTACCGAAGCGGGTGTGCCATCCTCTCAGCAGAGGATCAAAATTGTGATGGCATGTCTTCGGATCATCCTCAGGGATCTTTCCCAGACCGCCGCTAATAGCCCATTGTGCAGCTCTAGTGCGACGTAAATGAACAACAACAATTCTTCGTGTGCTTCTGAACAGGTACTTTAAGTTAACTAAATGCTAAATAAAAGTATCTGCTCTTATTATGTTTTCTTGTAATTATTGTCGAAAAATTATGTTCATATAAGCTCTCTATTAACTGTTTTATCGTAATTTAATGAATTGATGAGACTATCAAGTTAGTTAGTTTAATAATTAACCCTCTGAGCTATATGGAACATCGGTGTCTCTTATAAAAATATTTCTTTCCGGAGCTTTAATTATAAACAAAAATATACTTTCGTACTTTTTAATTACTAAAAAAAGTCTAATAATCACTAAAAATATCTGTTAGATTATTGGAATTATATTTGAACTAAAATATAAAATCCAAAAAGCTAGTTTTAAAAATTTTCTTTTTATTCATTTCAGAAATTTATAAATATTTGAACTAAAGAAATTTCAGTGATGGTTCTCTTAGATCTGAATGATAGAAAAATTATTGTTTAGAAGAGAGTTTTGCAAAAAGTTTATTTTTATCCCAAAAAATGACACTGGCGTTTCATGCTGTTTTATGACCCTAAATAATTAAAATGCTAAATAAAAAAATTCTATTGACCTAAATTAATAAAAAATAATGTAAAAAATCTGAAAAATAAGTTTAATAAAAATTTTGTGTCAAATGTTTAAGTAAGATTGACAAATCTTAATTTACGATAAAACAGTTAATACTGAACTTATTTGAAAGTAATTTTCTAGAATTTTTCAACGACTATATTAATTAAAAAAACATGAAATCATGATAGTTTAGTTAAATAAAAGTACATGATCAGAAGTACGTAAAGAAATAGTTCATAATCGGTAAGCGCCCCTAGCGGTGCACGACGATATACCTGGCATGGGTTCCTATGGGATTTTAATGCTGATAATGCGCCCTAACTGCCTTAGATTTTTGTCGCAACATTTACACGACCCCCTGTTATATATAATGTTTTTAAACTTGTACATTTCGACAAATAATTGACTAAAAATGTCATTAAAGATTCTAGAAGTAGATTTTAGGAAGAAAACTAATTTCAAATTTGAAATCCCTACAACCGAATTAAGCAAGATCAAGTGTTTGTATAAATGCAACAAAAATTTTTATTCTAAATGTAATAATTTAAAAATTGCATAAGAATGTGTAATAGCCTGTTTCTTTCTTAAAAAAACAATTATTTTCCCTTAATTACCTTCATGCATATTATGTTCATCGAACAAAAAATAATCTGTCCAGTTTGACAACTATGTGTAATCTTTATGCGTCTATAAGCAAAATAAAACTAAGCTGGCATGAATTTAAATGATGTAACAAATATTTTTACGCTAAAAATATGCGATTTATATCTAGATGCTAAAAAAAAAGCAACCACTGCTAATAATAAACGTAGCAGTCCATAGCTTTAAGGGCTTAATCTAGGGCTAGGTAATAATAATTTTATTAATTTCAGTGATAAGTTGCTTTGGAATGACATCACACAGTTATAATTTGTAAAATATAATATATAGGGGAGTGTCGGGTACCCCCGCCCACTGTCAATTTCATATGTATAGAATATTTTTTCAAATCAATGAGCGATCGGACATTAATTGTTATACTAAAGAAAGATTATTTTCAAAGTTTCAAGTATTTATGCAGCTGGTAACATGGTAAACAGTAGTTTTGAAAATATGTTGACTACAGTAGTCATGAAATTAGGAAAAATTGGTTGAATGCTTCGATTAAAGTTCATTTTAATACTAAAAATGTAATTTTTTCTATACCTACAGCATTAAAGTATGTAGTCTTAAGTTTAATTTGCACGAAGAAGGAAGTTTGTATGTGAAAAATTGTTCGAGTAATTACAAATTTACAAAAAATTGGATTTCGGGTAGCCCCGCTCACATGAATGTCGGGTATCACCGCCCAATTTTATTTCGTCGATAAATGTACGGTTGCAAAGATTATTATTTTATTGCTTCAAATTTGAATGTTATATGCATTTTTAACAACAAATATATGTTTTAATATTATATGAAACATAAATTTATATATTTAAAAATGAAAAATTAAATATTTTTAAAATGTAATTGATATATCCAAATTAAATTTAATATCAAGAAATCATAAATATTATGATAAGCTATTTGCTTACTTATTTATTTTCACTTATTTGTGAACGAATCAATCTACAGAAGCATTTGAATGCAATCAAAATACAAAGTGAATTTGTAATTTTATAAGAAGTATTTTATATTAAGTTTATAAGAAGAGATCAACCAAATAAGTTTATATTGAAAAACAACTATTGTTATTAATTATTGTTACTTAAATTAAATTATTTTCGTTAAATATTTAATATAAATATATATTAATATTATAATATATTAATATACATTAATAATGATAAAAAGTATGACATTTGTTGTTATTAAATGATAGAATTCACTAAAAGTATATAAATATGTAATAAATAAAATAATTTTGTGATAAAAATGATAAATGAGGTTTATCTATTGTCAATACATTGGTCATTTTCATTTACACCTGAAAAAACAGTCAAAAAACATAATTTTTGTAACTGGGCGGGGCTACCCGACACATTTTGAAAAGAGCTGAAAAACATGTTTTTTTAAATTTCTATTTTTTTAAGTTAAACTATTCTTTTTTTGGTTTATTCCTTTTGCATTATTTAATTAGATGATAAAACAATAGAAACATACAAAAATATTGATTATTACTCAATATTATACAGAAATATAAGCAATGCTCCTTAAGTGGGCGGGGCTACCCGACTCTCCCCTATATGAGATGTTATTCTGACTACCGCTGAATATGTTTCGTTAAATAATCGATATGTTAGTCTCAAGTGTTAACAATAAGAATTGTTCGAAGCTTTAGAAAGGTATTTTTTCTCAGCGATGAAGTGTATTTTTTATAAGAAAAATAAAGTAGAATTCAAGTGCAGATTAAGAAAAAGACTTTATAAAAGGCTTCTATGTTCTTCAGATATTCTTATCCTAATTCACAATGGTTCAAATATTTTAATATTCTTATTAAATAATTAGCACTTACTTTTAACATTCTAATTTCTCGCAAAGCGATCTTCTTAATAAGAGGATCGTCTTCACTCTCAACATATTTTTTAACAGCAACTATTTGACCATTTTCTCTATTTCTACATTTGAAGACAACGCCATAGGAACCTTCGCCAATCTTGGCTAGTTTTTCATATTTTTCCATCATTGGAGTAAGATGACGACGTTCCTTTCTATTGGAAGAAGAAGAACTCTAAAACATAGATCTTTATTTTGTAATCAATTTATGAAATAACAGTACCTAATTGTTTTCACTTTTAAAAATTGGAAATTGGCAGACAAATTACCTAATTTAAATAAAAATTCTTTTAAGGGTAAAAAATTAGCTTAAAATTACAAAAACAAAAGACGCTTGAAATGAACTCTATTCCTAAATCCTACATTTGGAGTGATGAACAAAAATTTCTTTTAAGCAAAGTAAAAAGAGATTCAAAATCTCATCGAAAACAGTCTAAGTACCTTTAGTTTTTTTCTTCTTTTTAACGATAGCAGATTTAGTAGCTCGTATCCCGCATCGGTTTTTCGATTATTGGCTTGGCTAGGGAAATTGTACTCAATTTTTTCATTACATTTGTACAATTTTCATAATATTGAATTTTTTTTTGCATCAAATAATTTGATGTGGGAGAAGATATCTCCAAGAAACAAGTTTGTTTCCAATTAAAGTTGCAAACTAAGTATGCAAACTTCTACAGACTGGTAATTAAATCACAAACATAAAGTTAAATTTATTCTCAAAAATTTAACTCGAATTAGAGAATAAAACTTTACACTCGTAACTTCTACTATTATATTGTGGGTACGGATCAAAAAATTTGAAAAAAAAAAACGATACAATATTTGCGTGTGCACGCACACACAGAAGTATTTCTAGTATATCAATATACAGCTTCATTACGCAACTACTGTCTGACCAGCAACGTACTCAGAAGAGAGTATCAGATTATAGGGCTGAGCCCGTATGATTAATATTTTGAAAATAAAATTTCTTCTCTGTCCTGACTTGCATCATGTAAAGGCAAGTAGGAAAATTTGAATTATTTCAGGTAGTGGCTCAGAGGATGGAGCGTTCGTCTGCCGATGGGATGAACCGGGTTGGAATTCCAGCTATGGCTGATCGCTACGAATTCCGTACCCGGCTCGCACTGACTACAGTGCTGACGTAAAATATCCTCAGTGGTGGACGGATCATGGCTTAGAGTCCCCTCTCCGTCAGATTAACTGTGGCAGATTTTCGTGATTTTCTCTCTCCATGTAATACAAATGCGGATAAATTGAATCAAAAAGTCGTTCGCGAAGGCAAATTTCTCCCAATACTTGATCCAGTAGTTTCCTTGTCATCTGGATTGGGTTCAAAATTAGGAATTCAGCATTAGTAGTTGTAAACTCCAAAATTGGGTTGGCGATTAAAAAATAAAATTAGTTGAAGCCCAATTACCTAACTTAGTTCTCTACACGGATTATGTGAGAAGGTCTGTCTTGCTCGTTCAACAGAGGAGAAAAAAAATCACCCAGGAGAATAACACTTAATCAAACATACTAAAGCGAAATGGTTCAAAATAATAACCTCAGATATGTTAATTGATCTATTACGGAATCGCGCAGAAGAGACCAATATGTAAATACTAGTTACGGAATCAGATAATAAACATAATTCCTCTGAAAAAAACGCTTTTTTTTTGATGGATTGGAATTTTTGACCATTAAAGTGTAGGGGTAGCCGCAATTAGGAAATTATGGTCCCATTAGCTAAGTCAGGATAGCGGTTGAAAAGTTGAGCTACTTGATGTTAATTTTACGTTACAAGGGGTTAACGCTTTTTTTTAAAATCATATCTATAAAAGTAATTGCGTAATTAAGAAAATTCTTGCACCTACTTGTAAAACATGATACTTAAAAATAGGAAATGGAAAAATAATTTTTAATAATTATTTAATATTTTTATAATTTTAATAGCAGTCAAAAAGATATTGTAAGGTGGTAAATTTTTTGCATCATTTCAAAGATGGCAATTTTATATGGAAAATGCAAAAATTTGGGTAAAATCGGTCGAATAGTTCCTGAGAAATCGAATTTTAAAAATTTAAAAACTATTTCTAAATTTGATTTCACAAAGACTAATTGATCAACTACAAGCAAATACTGTATTTTCCTACGTAAAATTGCATTCTTTAAAATGATGTACAAAATTGCAAGCCTTACAATTTAAACTTGTTTCTACAATTATTAAATAAAATAATAGAAAATGATAAACATGCACAAAAAGCTATTTTTTGTATGGAATTGCCTTTGGATAAACGGTTTTTATAATTATCAGCAAAAGTATTTCAATTCGCTTAAAAAGTTATCAAAATATGTCGAAATAAGCAAAAAAATAAATTAAGATAAAGGGATTTAAACTTGATCACTCCCCTGACCAGATTCATCATGTTTCCCAAATTGCTGTTATCCTCTATATTTTGTGAATCATTAATCCGATTCCGTTAAAAAAAATATGTTTATTCAAAGTTCGTTTTTGCGTTTGATATCGTAACTTAAATTATTGTTCACCCCGTACTTAATTAGCATACTTGATGTCATCCCCTCAAACCATTGAGTCTTAGAAAGTGAAGATCCGATCATTTGATCAACCGTTTTTTATTTATTTTTAGTTTCTATTAATTTATTTATTTATCATTTTTGGCGCACTGAACATGTAAATAAGTAAGTATTAGGCGAAGCAATCAAAATCTGCTATTAAATTTGTGTATTTTTTTATTGGAAGCAACGATGAACTGACTCGCAGTTATTGTGAAATGAAAATATTCATTGTTCAATTAAATAATTTCCGTTAAAAAACAAATCTGGTCTAATGAGGGATTTTGAGCTCTCTTTTAGATTCTGAGTATATTTTAAACTTTAATGATGCTTTTCATTGATGATCTGTCGATGGTAAGTTTAATTTCAATCACACCCTAAAAAATTCTCTTTGAAAACTGGAAAAGTACTTTTTTGCATATTGCAAACATACATTAAAACATATCTTTAATTTATCAAAACAACAAATGTACAAATTAAATAAGCAAAAATAAAATAAAAATTAATAGTTCGTCGGTGAGCTTTTTATTCTTGACTAAGTTTAAAATCCGTACTTTAGAAAATAGACATAGCTCAAAGTGCGTAGTTTAGAAAATAGACATAGATCAAAATGCATTTTAATGAAATGTACACAGCTCAAAAAGTTTAACATCTCTTACGAAAATTATTTTTTTTTGAAGAATAAATTAATAAATTTGAGATGCACTGTCATTCATTTGCATTAATCACTTAGTAAATTTTTTAATTTAGTTATTTTTCAAAAAAAACTTTCAATAGTTGTTTTTACATGATTGTCTCAGTTCCGATAAATTAATAATAGTGATATTAAATTTACGTTGAAGAAATTCATATTTGTAAAAATACTTTATCGTTTAGTATTCTAAATGTGAAGAGATACTTGAAAACCCAGCCAGCCCAATCCCAAAGTCCGGGACTTTGCCCTGTAATGATTATACTTACTGTTGAAAGAAGTCAGGAAATGTAAATACAAAATTTCTCGTTTATTTGTTAAATTTAGGTTAAATGAGGAGAAAGTATATTTTTTGCTGTTCCCATTTTCTTAAATATGCATTTTGAGTTGTGTTCATTTTCTTAAATGAGCATTTTACGCTATGTCCATTCTCTGAAATACATAATTTGAACTGCGTTCGTTTTTTTAATACATGTGCTGAAACATATATTTTGAGCGGATCTGGTTCATTTAATCGACAATCACTTCATCGACAGGCCATTTCATCGACACCACTTCATCGACAGGCCGTTTCATCGACTAGGTCATTTCGTCGACAGGCCGTTTCCTCGACAGGGTTGTTTCGTCGACAGNGTCGACAGGGTCATTTCGTCGGCAAGTCATTTCGTCGACAAGGTCATTTCGTTGAAAAGTCATTTCATCGACAAGGTCATTTCATCGACAGGGCCATTTCGTCGACAAGTCATTTCGTCGACAAGTCATTTCGTTGATAGTGTCATGCTTAATTCTGAAACTATTTTAGAGATTTAATGTAAATATTTCTATTATTAATTAGAAAAATGCAATTATTTAATTTTTATACTAAAGTAAAATTCTTTATGGCTGTGTATTGTTCCAATTGCACTTAAAAGAAGTTCGCTTTTTAAATTAATTAATAGGTAGTTGAGAAGCGTTTAAACGATTGATGTATCGAAATCTACTTTTCTATATATAAATCGTAATAGCTCGACACTTATTTTCAGGATAGGTAAGGATTGTCTTCAGAACATTACCAAGCATGATATCCGAACCGTGGTCAACAGTTAATATAATGTGACGTTAGCAATCAAATTGTTTTTAATATCAAATCAAATTAATAAAATATATTTTTAGAATTAAAAGCAATAAAAATATATTACAATGAAAATTTAGACACTATTTCAAGGAGGGGAAAGCTAAATTTATTGCTTTAAAAATTTTTAACATTTCAACAAAAACATAGACTTCAGTCGAATTCTCACAGAAATGAAAATAATCATAGACCTAATTATTATGTCTGCATAAGTAGAAAAAAAATTCTAGGTTTTTTATGATATAGAAAAGTTATTTCTTAATGTTCACTTTAATTGCAATTTTGAAATTTTTGTTCAGCATCTTTAACATTAGGACAGGAATATGCTTATTCGAACAATCGAACTGAGTCTCAGTTTTGTTACTACTATTAGAGATTTCGAAGAACAATAGGAACGCAAACTTGATGTTTAGGTATTTACCGAGGTGGTTGTAGATTCCCACAATATTTAAAGTGCTACTCACCTTACCAAAAATGTTTAGAAGCACAGGCGTAACGTTGCAAGCGTGTTAGTGTTTGCTCTTCACAAAACGTGTTTTTCTATGAATAGTGAATTTAATAATAGTATTTATTATTAAATTCTAATCTAATACTATCAAATTATACTATTTTTGAATTATACTATACTATTATAATTAAATAATAATAGTATAATTTAATAAGAATAATAATAGTTGTATGTAAATGATAAATTAATTAATTTTTTATTTGCAGGATATAAATTAGACACATTTTGTTTAAAAGAACATTAACAAAAAGTGAAACCTGGAATTTAAACGTAAGAATAAATAACTCTTACTCCACAAAAAAGGAAAAAAAATCTTGCAATTAAAATTTGACCAATTTTTTACTAGTATAATTGCTGAAATTTTTAACTGATTTTCTGTACAGGATGAAAACAGAATTTTCAAACGCTTACTGACCACTATTAGCACGACTTATCGCCAATCAAAATTTTGATTATTTTCGACCTGAACTAGCCAGGAGGCTCAAGACTAAAATGCAGAAAAAATGCAAGCGTTAACGTTGCAAGCGTGTTAGTGTTTGCTCTTCACAAAACGTGTTTTTCTATGAATAGTGAATTTAATAATAGTATTTATTATTAAATTCTAATCTAATACTATCAAATTATACTATTTTTGAATTATACTATACTATTATAATTAAATAATAATAGTATAATTTAATAAGAATAATAATAGTTGTATGTAAATGATAAATTAATTAATTTTTTATTTGCAGGATATAAATTAGACACATTTTGTTTAAAAGAACATTAACAAAAAGTCAAACCTGGAATTTAAACGTAAGAATAAATAACTCTTACTCCACAAAAAAGGAAAAAAAATCTTGCAATTAAAATTTGACCAATTTTTTACTAGTATAATTGCTGAAATTTTTAACTGATTTTCTGTACAGGATGAAAACAGAATTTTCAAACGCTTACTGACCACTATTAGCACGACTTATCGCCAATCAAAATTTTGATTATTTTCGACCTGAACTAGCCAGGAGGCTCAAGACTAAAATGCAGAAAAAATGAAAATAAAAAATGCTTATATATTTAAAATATCAAATTTGTTCAGTAGACTATAAATGAGAAAAAAATTTATAAAAATTTTTACGCACAGCAAAAACCACAAGGGCAAAATTTCACAAAATATTCTATCAACATTCAAAATTCCACTTTTTTCGTTTTGGTTTCGTTTTGGTCTTTTTCAGAACACATATCAAACACGATATTGTAATAGACGCAAGATGATGAAATAAAAACATCATCACTATGAGCTCAATATTTTTAATTATAAAATCACATTAAACATTTAACAATAAAGAGTAAAAAAAAAATATAATACTAACTAACATAAAAGAACTAGAAAGTTTTTACTCAAATGAGTAGGGAAAGGGGAACCAGGATGGTTCACAGAGCTCGTCCTGCGCCATCTCAGATATTAAGTCAGAAAGATTGTTGATATCGTTTTTGGGATAGAGGGGTAGCGCCATCTAGTGCTACAAATAAACTACCCGTTACAATATTTAGAAATATTTCCATTTCCGATTACACTTTTTAAAGGACTTTCCTTATGGCTCGCCCTTAAAATATATACTCTCACTGCAAATTTTATTAATTTAAATAAATTTTTATTCTCTGGCAAATCGAAAAGAAAAGCATTTTAATATTTGAGTAAAAAAACAAGTTTGCTAAACTTATTTTAATAAAACATTAATGGGAATAAAATCAGATGCATATAGATAACTCTCCTCAATTATAAACTCAAAAGTCAATTTATTTGTTATATCGTAGTAAATTGCGTTTTTTCCCCAAATGTTTTAGATCATAAAAACCAATTAGACAGGTTTCCTCCCCTCCTCTGATTTAGAACCATTTTTTATATCATTTCGATTGCATCGCATACCGAGAATGTGGAGTCATTGTAAGTTTTTTTTTTTTTTTTTTTACATTAACGAAGTTTATTTTATAAGGTAAAAGAACTTATAAATGTTTAGGGAACATATAGGATAAAATACATATTAAACTATTAAACACCAAAACGTTATTAATAATTAATTAAATAAGAAATAAAACTAACTGGAAATGCGAGAATAAGATTTTGTTTCAAATAATACTTCATTTAAATTTCACAAGAATTGTCAGAAACTTCCATCTTCAGCAGCATAGCTGACAAAGACATGAGAAAGAGGGTTAGAACAAAATTTTTTATCAACATTATTTCCCAATATTTTTTCCAAGTTGGATTTTCATTTTATTTTTCCCCACATGCATTTTTTTCCAAAGATTTTTATAATACTAGGAAGTTCCGCCCCTTGCTCACTTCGCTCACCAACCTTCGTAAAAGCCACTCATACATCTTAGTTTGTTTTTTTCCTATATCGATCTTTTTTTTAAAGAGAAAATATATAAATATTGAAATTTTATGTAAGAAAATTTTATTAATATGTCAATAGTAACAAAATTAACGATTACTTGCATATGAAAAAAAAATCAACTGAGCTTGAAAAAAATAAAAATCTAAACACCGGGAATATATAAATTTTTGATAAAACAAGAAGTAATTTTACTAGCTATCTAAAAGATTTGTGTTTTTCGGATTAAATTCTTTGTAAACATCACCATTGTTATCATTGCAAAAGTTTGTTCCTTCTCTTTCTCTTTTTTTTGACAAGATTTTAAACTGTATTAATGCGCTTTACTCATTGCGAGGGAACATTATATAAGTATAATTTTCTTTTTATCGACAGAAAATTTTTGCAGCTGAAATGGCCTGTTAACGAAAAGACCTTGTCATTGAAATTACCTATCGACCATATGGTTTCATTATCTCACAGATTCATTATATACCGTTTTTTTTCCTTCCTAATTTCACCCGTCATTCACTCCCTACATCAAGAATCATTAACAATAGTTATTGCAATTGCTTTTGCGATGCTAATCTACAATAATGCACATTAAAAATTAATCTTAGAAATAAATGTGTTGAATATGACTTGAAAAAAATTGCGTAATATACAACTTAAATGTGTAAAATACAATTAATGTTTCGTTTTTGCAAAGTGATGTGAATAGAAGAGCAGGCAATTTTCAAATAAAATGCTTTTTTCCGACAACTTCATACTATTAAGATTTTGCATCGGGCTAGGTTTAAAAAATTTCATCATAAATATACTAAATTACAAAGAACTGCAAGGGGTATAACGTCTAATGTAAAAAATCATAAAACTAGTGTCAAAATTACGCATGACTTTGCCTACAAAATAATCTTTTCTTAATATTGTCGACGAAATGACCCCTGTTGACAAAATGACCTTGTCGACGAAATGACCATGTCGATGAAATCACCCTGTCGATGAAACGACCATGTTGACGAAATGACCCTGTCGATGTAATAACCTTGCCAAAGATATGACCCTGTGGACGAAATGACCATGTCAACGAAATGACCCTGTCGACGAAATGACCATGTCGACGAGATGACCCTATCGTCAAAATGACCCTGTCGACGAACTGACTCTGTGGACAAAACTACCCTGTCGACGAAATGACTTGTCAACGAAATTACCCTGTCGACAAAATAACCCTGTCGGTGAAATGATTTGTCGATGAAATGTCCCTGTCGATGAAACGATCATGTCGACGAAATGACCCTGTCGACGAAATGGCCTGTCGACGAAACGACCCTGTCGACGAAACGACCCTGTCGACGAAATGATCCTGTCGACGAAATGGCCTATCGTCGAAACGACCTTGTCGACGAAACGGCCTGTCGACGAAATGACCTAGTCAATGAAATGACCTAGTGGATGAAATGATTTGTCGATGAAGTGATTGTCGATGAAATGAATGCGACCCATTTTGAGCTAGGTCCAGAGTATAAAGCTCGTAGATGTGCTGCAAGTATTAAATAAAAAATTGCGAAAAAAAGTTGAAAGTATAATCGCTTGTCTTCGTGTTTGTTTACAAAGAGCATTGCAATAAGATAATTGAATTAGTACTTCTTCAGAAACATTATTTTAATGATATAATTCCATTTGACTTGACTACATTTGTTTACCAACTTTTAATTTTGAAACAAATTTATACAGTTAAACTGTCTCTACCCTCACTCACATACAAGAGAAGAGGATCAGTTTTAAGTCCATAGAAGTTAAGTCAATTTAGAACCCTAACTAAAAGCTTTTTTAAGAAACTCTTTATTTTATTACTTAAAATGGTTTAATTTTGAAATGATTATTTTACATGATATTTTTCTTAACCTTACTTTTGAAAGAAGAATTTAGAAATGAGATTTCCTTTTTTAAAAATATACTTGACTTACGTAGGATTAGATTGAAAATCGCATCTTTTTGGGACATGATACAGATTAGTTATCAAAACAGTGAAACGAATAAGGAACATGTTTTTTTTATAAAATTTGTTTGTAAAAACTTAATGTCGAAAATGAAAATTAATATTCTAACTATCACATAAATTAGATAGCTTTCAAACTATTACAATGAGTTGATCGTCATTTCAACTATTTTTTTAAGACATTGCATAGTCAGAAATTTGGCAGCAATGTTGAGCTAATATCATTAAAATTTTCTACAACCTTAATATTTACTAAATTGAAACATAAATTGGTGTATAACATTCTTAAATTTGATTATATGGTACTATGGTTGAAATTGAGAGAACACATATGGTTCAAGTTAGTACTTTATTATGGCTGCCACAAACTTGCACGGTATTATGATTCAAGGTATTGTTATTAGGGTTCAAAGTTGAGCTAATTTTATTATAAATGTATATCGGTCAGGCTTAAAAATCATAAAAAATAAACCTGAAGCGTTTGTTAATTGTTGTCGTTATTTATTAGTCAAAAATATTAAAGACCGCTTTATGAAGATTCGATTTAGAACGAAGTCTATAAAATTGCTTCAAAAGTATGTTAAGCATAGTCATAGTGTGAATTAATTCTTCAAAATCTCTTTAACATAATGATTTCAATTGATTTTCACAAATTTATAAATTACGTCGAAGAAAGTTTGACACGAATTATGCTCATGGAAGTTGCTGCTGTACAGTTCATGTGCAACGAGTTAACCCTCCAATCGTGCATAGGCGGGTCTAGAACAAAATCCCTGCAAAGTCTATATTTGACATTTTAAAATTCCAACTAGGTATCCATTTTTGCACTTGGGACAATTTTTCAACTTTATTTGGAAACATTTATTTTATATATTCTTATACATATTTTAGCGTACAATCAGATAAAAATGAATATTCCTTTAAAAATTCTAAGGGCACGTATTGAATATTGAGATTGCTTGGCCCTTGCGATATTTTATTTCAAAAGGTAGATTAAAAGGACGTACATTATGTGTCACTAAGTAATTTTAAATGCGAAATTTAAAAATAATAAATTTTTAAAATGAAATGCCACGATATTTGCTTTCAATGCTCTGCTTCACTACAGTGAATAATGTTAGTTAACCACTTTTATAATATTGTTTCACCCATTTTCCACAAATGAAGTAGCTGATCTAAATAAAAATTTCCATAAAAATGAGAAAAAAGTTGTTTACGCAATGTTTATTATTGAACTGGTTGATTAAACAAAGATTAACAAAGGTTGATTAACAAAGATTTAAAATTACCTGAAACTGAGAAAAAAATTTTGGTCAAAACTACCAGAATATAGTAAAATTTACCATGCCTTTGGCTCTTTGGAAAATATATAGAAGCTCGGTTATTTTTACCAAAGCACTTAGGTAATGACTTTTGGTAAAATTAGCATTAAAAATGGGTTTTTAGCCATGCTAAGTGGCTGCAAATTTGGTAATTTTATCATGTTTCCTTAGAGCAGGACATAAAAACCATTTATACGGTTAACTGCAATTTTCAATTTTGAATTTTTTACTAAATGTGTGGTAATGCGTAAGTACTGTGTAAAAACTATAATTTTGAAATCAAGAATTTTCGGTAAACCGTTACCATATGAATGGAAAAATTACCAAGTGAATTGTTTAAATTCCACATATTTTGATATTATTATCCAGAATTGTTTCTTTTTATTTCATTTTATTGTTTTTTTAATTTTTAACTAGAAATGTTATTATCAAACAGTTCAGTATTTTTTCCAGAATTTCCTTCACTATGAGTTAATGTTAAGATTTTAGTTTCTCAGACTAGGGGTGGCCGAAATCAAGGCTTGTCTAGAATGTTAAATTACAATGATATGGTTTGTTAGGGATTTAGCGTGTCCAGATTTTTCGCTTGCAACGCATTTTAGTAATGATATTAAATCAAGGAATGAATTATCGACGATAGTCTTTTTTTTCTGAGAAATCGTTGAACATTTCTTACCTTCTTCGCGGTGAGTTTTACATTTCGAGGAAATTTTGATATGAGAAAAATGCATAATAATGCATTTTTTCAAATTGGGATTAATTATAATATTATTGAAAAGATTTTACGAAATATTGCAAGATAAGATTTTTAAAAAAAATCAAAATACTTTAAAAAAGGAGGAAAAATTCTGCTAAAATTTCTGCATTGTATGGTAATGACCTATCGGGCAAGAAAAACCATAATCCTGGTTAATAAAGCCAAAATATATAGTATTTAAACCAATAATTTTGATTTTTTTTTCTTCATATGGTAACGGTTTACTGGAAATTCTGGTTTTTAAAAATGTAGTTCTTATTACCACATATTTAGGAACTAAATACAAAGCTGAAAAGAAAATTTCTCCGAATAAATGGTTTTTATGCCTTGATTTAAGGTATGATGATAAAACTAAATTATCGACACTATGAGTATCAAATATTTAATAAATTTGTTTTTTAAATGTTTGTTTTTTACCATTTTAAAACGGAAGAAAAATTTGAAATTTCAACATGGTTCTCATCTTCTTATAAAGATAAATGCTTAATTTTTGTACTATTTTAAAATGATAAATAGTATTAGATATTTAACAACTGAAAAATTTTAATATTTTAAAGATTCCTATATTCAGTTAATTTAAAGATTCTCCTAAAT